CCCCAAAACCCCAAAACCCCAAAACCCCAAAACCCCAAAACCCCTCTGGCTTCACAGATTGTTGAAAATTTCCAGTGAGGTCTGGTTTGGAAAATGCTTTGGGTAATAAGTTTTAGCAGACTTTTAGAGACGATTTATGAAATGGGTTTAGCCCAAGCTGTTTCTGATGTTTTTAATTACAATTTGCCTGTTTTTGGACTTGAAATGAGTAATTGCTTCGTTGAATTTATTCGTTGTGTTGCAGATTAGCTTTTTGCAGCATACGTTTTGAACGCTTAGAGGGTCTATTCTGAGTATTTTATTGAGTCTTTCAGTGTATTTTTGTTTTCACAGACTAAAAATTTTCGGAGCTGGCTGATTAAGTCTTCCTCCTAAAAGACAAATATCTTTTATTTTAATGAAGTCTTTATCATTATCTGCATAAGAAAATTTGAGTTGAGAAAAGCGTGTCAACTTGCTTCTCATCTTTTTCTTTTGAATAAACAAAGGAATCTCTGGTAGATCAAGTTCTTGCTGTTTGATTAAATTTCTAAGCTCTGGAGCATACCTCAGTAGCATTCTCCTGAACTTATCATTTCTACATCTTTCCACTATTTATATTAAATAGTTATAATACTCAGATCCGCGGTTTCTACAAGGGTCAGGATAAAACTTACTTTGTGTGGGCTTCATGAAAAGTTTCTTAAAGTAATGTGAAATCTCATACTTACCTTATGAGATACTTTTTGTCATACTTTCTGTTGTGAATCCTTCAAATTTAAATTTGTTGATGAAGTATTATTTGATTTTGATGCCTATTTATTAGCAATATACTCACCTTAGACTCTTTCCTAAAGACAGCACCCCTTCTTGGGGTTGTATTTGATATAAAAAATGGCTGAGAAAAATTTCTCCTATAATTCTCTGGCATTACTTGAGGCAAATCCGAGTCTCTAAAAAGTCAATCTCAGATATACCCATCGTCTACACTCGAAATACTGCTCACATCATCACCCAAGCTCTTCTCACTTTCCTGACACCCAAACCTCACTCTGGGTCAACTAAATCCTGCATTTTTCTCCATTTTCCAAAATCTGTTAATTCCAAAAATTACAACAAAATAAAATTAACCTGGGGTTTTGGGGTTTTGGGGTTTTGGGGTTTTGGGG